CCTTCTTAATCCTCTCTAATCCCTCCAAATCTCCATGATTTAAGGATGAAAGGAACAAGGCCTTAGCAATCAACAGATGAGGTAAAGTCGTAAACCCATGATCAGTTTGGTCATGAACTCATTACTCGTCAAGTATGGCACCTTTGATCCTTACTCGGGATGTACTATAAACATAATGCAAGAAGGTACGTGTCAAGTATGGCACCTTTCTAGAGAGTTGCCAGCCGGGCCCGTCTTGTGGCCCGTGAAGAAACCTCAAGAGCGGCCGTGCATGTGCGCCGGAAGGGGAGCGCTGGTCCAGTAGGCGGGGACTCGTGGCGCTGGGCATCCATCCAAGGGTGGAAGCGCACCGCCGAGGGGAGGGTGCCATCCCAGCCGCGCAGGCGTGCGGGGGCCTCCTAGAGGTGCGGCTCCGGCACCGCGAAGTGGATGGGGAGCCCCCGCGCGTCGAGGAGCAGGAACAGGTGTAGCAGCTGGTCGCCGTGCTTCGTCCGCCACGCTGGAGCTGCCACGTCGCCTGGAGGCCGCGCCGGATGGTAAATGGACCTGCGGTGAAACTTGACAAGTTTAGACATATATTTTCACGTTTGCAAATTCGTGGACAGAACTAGCACAGGCCGACAAGTTAAAGGGCCGCCGGCGTACTCAAACCAATACTATCACGCTAATCTCCCTTGACTATATATACAGTGTCATCAGCTTCAGAGCGAGAGGGCGACGAGGATGGCCTGGCGGCAGCGGGCGCGCGCCGTCTCGACGCGCTCCTTGACGGCGGCCTTGACCATCTCCACGTCCATCTCCACGAGGCGGAGCACGCGGAAGAGCTCAGTGACGACGCGCTCCTCCACGCCGCCCTCGGCCACCAGGACCGCGGCCTCCTCGTGGGCGCGCTCCGTCACCACGCCGGCCACGGTGCCCAGCAGCTGCGCGGACCCGTACCGCCCGCGCGCCAGCAGGCCGTCCAGCTTCTCCAGGAAGTCGGCGATGGCCCACCCCCGGGGCTTCTCCAGCGGCAGCGGCTTGGTGCGCTTCCACCCGATCTCGTAGTTGGGCGGCTCCTCCTGCGTCAGCGCCGTCCGCGGCCGCCGGTCTGGGGAGATGGCGGACGGCAGCCGCCGAGCCACCGCGAAGGAGGTGGTCACCGTCGCCGACGCCGGGGTCTCCTCGTCGGGGATGCTGTTGGGGTTGCTGCCGTTCGCCTCGTCCGGAGTGGCGGCGGCGCCGCCGTTGGGTTCTACTTGCGGTACTACTTGCTGTAGTGCTCGGATGTTGGCCTCTTCCTGGCTGGGTTTCGGCGTCGAGGTTGCCGGTTTGGGCGCGGCAGTGCAGCGTACGGTGGTGGTGCTCGTGGTGGGAGCAGCGGGGAGGTGGGGTCTGCGAGCGCAGAGGAGGGGTTGGGGAGGGAGGAGGGGCCTGAGGAAGGAGGCCGCCATGACGGATGACGGGGTGAGACGACAGAAGCGGATGGCTGTGCGATTTGGAGATAAGCTTAGAAATGGGCTCTGTCGCCGGCTCGCCGCGCGGAAAGAGACGTCCATAACCTTTTTTGCGTGCTGCTAGAGGTAGTAGATATTTTGAGCTTGTCCGGCATTCTCTCTAATCGTTGTCTAATATAAAACCATTTTAGTTTGATGAAATTTATATTAAAAAATTCTTAATGTTTACAATACCAGATTATTATCTTATATTATTATAAAATCTATATTCAAAAGTGTACTTATGTTGGTATTTTCTCTGTAAATTTAATTAAAATTAAAATAATTTAACTTAGAAAAGAGTTAAAACTACACTTGTTTTGCAAATCTGGCCAGAACAAGTGCGATGTGTTCATTATAAATTCTTGAGTTATTCGGGCCTCCTCTGTACTTGTATACACAATTTCACAAACTTTGAAAACCCTCCGGCAATCCCTTCAATTTAGGAAAGAGTCTACATCAGTAAGGCTTCGTTTAAATCCAGGGTATAAAATTTTAAGGTGTCACATGAAGAATTCGTATGGGGTGTTCGTATATAAAAAAACAAATTACAACTTGCTACTGTATAGATTTTTTTTTAGATAAGCTTAGAAACGGGGCTCTATAGCTGCGTGAAGAGAGACATCCATACTCCATAGCCTTTTTTGCATGCTGCTAGTGCTAGATATCTAAGAGCAACTACTCTTTTTTTTTAAATCAAGAGCAACTATTTTTGATTGGAGTGCTCTTTTATTTTTGTTGGCTCAATTTTTTTTCTTTCGCTCCAACAACAGCACCCACATTTAGGTCCTCAAATTCATTCAGTGAGACAATGCCAAATGGGACCCGCTCGTCATCCTCAGCGTTCTACCATATGAGCTGTCATCTACGGGGAGGGAGCCATATCTAGAGGAGCTGTGGGCCTAGGGAGCCCAGGCCTGGCCCTGGAGGGTGGCGAGCGGGGCGACATCCCTAGGCCCCCGAACGCAAAGGGCTCCTCTCCAGAAGTTTATCATGTTGTTGTATTAGGTTATGCCCAACAGAAACGTGAAGAGTGGCAGGTAATCTAGACATCGTGACTCATGAGTCATGAGTACACTATTCTAGGGCAAGTTTTATCTTCCATCGCATCATGTTCTAGGATTTTTCGATGCAATCTTGGCGATGCCCCAAATCTGATCCCGCGACCGGCTGCCCACACAGCCACATGCCAAGACCTGACATTCCGCAACAGAGCACCACCAGCGTGGGCCGCACGCTAATTCATCCCCAATTCCTAGGCATGCTCATTTTACTCCAAAACCAAGGGGATTGGAAGGGATTCTTGGGATTAAATTCTCTACAAGTCAAAATCCTTCTTAATCCTCTCTAATCCCTCCAAATCTCCATGATTTAAGGATGAAAGGAACAAGGCCTTAGCAATCAACAGAATAGGTAAAGCCGTAAACCCATGATCAGTTTGGTCATGAACTCATTACTCGTCAAGTATGGCACCTTTGATCCTTACTCGGGATGTACTATGAACATAATGCAAGAAGGTACGTGTCACAGGCTTTGCCATAGATAAAGTTACATTTTCATTGTAGCGTCATAATTGACTGATTGGATAATTGTCTAGGGATAGATATTATTGATATTTCCAACTTCTTCGTGGTAGCTGCTAAGATTAATCTAGTAAATTTATTCGTGCACTCGCACTAATTGTTTCTCTAAATTTCAGCACCTTCATGTCATTTACAAAATATGTATCAGACAGCGAGAGAAATAAAATGAGAATAAACAAGTAGATGAGTTAACAGAATCATAACGACAATGATAATCCTCAGATAAATAGACAAATTGTTTGGCTACTTTATGTATATAGAAGAAAGTTATTGGATCAGATTGATATGGATATCATTACAAGTGAATTTCAATGAAGGAATGTTTAAAGAAAAGTTTCAGCCAATGTGTTATTATTTAAGAAAACATTAAGATAATTGTTGAATTATTTAAAATGAGTATTATATGCTTTAGAATGCACTTTAAGTATTTTTGGTAACAATTCTTTCACACATACATAAATTGATAATCATTACAATAATAATTATATTAAAGAGTTTCAGGTTTAGTTTCGCTCCAGGCCCTCAAAATCGTAGGATCTATATCATCCTCAGTCACTCCCATCTCAAAATCTTAGGTAACCACTGCTTCCTAGTGGAGGTGGTTTCATCCCTACCGAATCCAGGATAACTCAAGATGACGAAAGAGCAACCGAAGCTTGTTGACGGCGTGACGAGAACCTGAGCAAGGCCAGATCTAGCGGTGGGGCAGGGAGGGGCACGAGCCCCCTCCCCCCTCCCCCTCCTTCCTACTATCGTCGAGGCCATGGCACCCCCTCTTACCCACCCTTAGAAATGGAGCCACCTTTAGAAATTTCAGTCATAGAGGCTTTAAACATGAGGGACTGAATTGTTTAGAGAGGTTAAGGACAATGAGAACGGGAAAAGTCCACATTGTCTCCCTCATCTTTTGCGAAAATCAACTTTTCCTCCCTGAACTCTAAAACCGGGTAAACACCCCATTCGTTTTACCTCCCTGACCGGTTATAAGCGGTTTTCAAAGACGATTTTGTCTTTTTTTTTTATTTATTTTGGCTGAATTTTTAAAAAATCATAGTAAATCATAGAAAAATCATAAAATGGAAAATCCAATTTTGTTGGACTCTACATGAGTAGATCTACACAGTGAATATATAATATGGTATGCTTTAGTACAATTTTTTTTTTGTAACTTTAGATCTATGCTTTTATTTAATTAATTCACAACTGCAGTTTTTATGGTCCAATTGTGGTGAAATTTTTATGGTGGGCTAATTCTTATATGCTTAAACTGTGGTAAAAATTTCATAGTCATTGGATCATGTATAACTTAGTTATAGATTTATAAATACTTCTCCGAAATAAATCTATAACTAAGTTTTTTCTATAAACATTACTATTTTTTCTATAATTTTGGTCAAATTTAAAATGCCACTTAGAACAAATCTAAAACATCACTTATTTTGGGACGAAAGGAGTGTGCCATAGAATGTGGCATATATAGATATGGATAGTCGTTGCTTGAGTCACATGGTGTATAGGCATATAGATGTTGGCTTTAGACCTTTAGTATCACCACACAACTTAAAAAAGCTCAAACGGCCACGTTTCAAAAAAAAAACTCAAACGGTCAAGCCCCAGCTTCCCATCTGTATTGGTTTCAGCCCACTGCCCCCTCATCCATACGGGTCGGACGATCGATCAGCAACGGGCCGCGCAAACCGAGTTTGGAATTGTGTTTCCTTTCCGTGTCATGAAAGAACGGTTCGAGTCGGTTTCGGCCTTCGCACACCAGCCATCATATTCCGCTCGATATAAGACGCCGAGACGGCTGCGAAGCTATCCTCAGAATCGATTATAATAATCTCAAATTTTCGTCCGATTCGATTCGATTACTGTATACCCCCTGTATTCTTACCGTGTTCCGTGGGTCACACTTGTATATGCTCACATTCTCCGTTGGGCCATGGTCGCGACCCGTTCCAAGACAGCGCCAGGCCCACGCTCACGGCCGCGGACCGACTTGGCGGCCCACCCATCCGAGGAAGAGCTCATCACGTCCTTCCTCCGCCCCCGCGTCGTCTCCGGCGACGGCAGAGACAGGCCGTGCAGCGCGTCGTTCATCCATGACGCGGACGTCTACTCCGCCGGCCCCGCCGCGCTCACGGCCCTGCTCGCCCCGGCGGTCGCGAGCAACGGCGACAGCGCGTGGTACTTCTTCTCCGCCGTGAGGGCCAAGGCCCGCGACGGGCAGCGCAAGGCGCGCACGGTGGACACCGGGGAAGGGTGCTGGCACTCGGAGGCCGGCGCGAAGCCCGTGGTGGAGGGCTCCGGCGCCGGCCGGATCCTGGTAGGGCACCGCCAGGGCTTCTCGTTCGTGACGAAGGTGGACGGGCGGCGCGTCCGGTCGGGGTGGCTGATGGTGGAGCTCAGCCTCGACGGCGCCGACGCCGACGACGTGGTCCTCTGCAAGATCTACTTCAGCCCGCGCGCGCGCGCCTCGGCGTCGGCGGCGGAGTCGTCCGGGCGCAAGAGGAAGGCCGCCGCGGACGACAAGAACCCGGCTAGTTCGGCGCGCAGGCGATGTCGCGGCCGTCCCACCGAGGCAGAGACTGGCACGCCCACACCCAATAATGACGAAGAGAAAGACGACACCCAACAAAGCCGCCGCGGGCTCCCTGATGAGAACTCTACTGTGACCGACGATCCCGACGAGCTCTGGACGGACGACTCGTTTTTCTCTTGGTGGATGAGGAATAAGGATTGGTTAATGGAAGAGTACGACATCGTCGACCGGACAGACGAGGAGATCCAGAAAACCTACGGGCTCGATGACTACCTGCGGCTGCTGAAACACCATTATGTTGACTTTGGCTGCGGCCATTCTCCGGTGCTCAACTCCTGAAGTCGTGATCTAGATGCAGCGCCGAGCGCCACATCGTACATGTAATCAAGCCAAGTTCAGTTGCTAACATACTATTGGCATTAGGATATATACTAAGACAAAGGCAATGCAATAAAATTTGCCTTATATATGTACTTCTATAAGCGTGGACGTTCTCCGTTTTGATCGTTTAACATCAATGGTAACTGACTGTAATTTCGGATTACATTAAGCCAATATACAGGATACAAAATGAAAGAAGAGATGAAACATAGGACGTGGCAAAGCACAATGATTATGAAATTTCACAATCATGAATTATACTTTTGCTCTTATAATTTGAGGATATTCTAGAGTCCACTCCTGCCTTATAATTTGTTCAATTGTGCACTGGGCCTGGACCCAAACGAAAGAGAAAAAAAAGAGGGAAAAAGAATAGAACAATCCAATGGGCTTCAATCAGGTGTCTGAGCAACACACAGTCCAGTGGGCTTCAGTCAATCGTCTGATCAAACACTCGGAAGCTGTTTGGCACGGCTCCGGCCTGTAATTTCACTGTTCATTTACTGTAGCGGAGCCAGTTTCCTCTCTCCTTCCCTCTCCCTCTCACAGCCAGCGGCTTCACCGGTGAAGCCCGAAATTTTAGCTCCTCCAGCCCACGAACAGTACCCGAACTACATTAAGAGGAAAAGCAGGAGAGACAAATCCGGCTCCGAGCTACAATGTCCAGTGGACTCCATCAAGTGTCTGAGCAACACTCAAACCAGGCTAAACAAGTCCAATAGAGATATTCTCCCGAACTCCGAGTCCGATTCCACCCGGAACCGACCCTGCCTTCCGTGTCTCGTACGCCTTCTCTTATTCTTGTTCGAGTCGAACTCGAAGTCGGCAAAAGGCAAACGCGTGAATCGATGGCCATATAAAGCGGCGGTTCCCCGTGCCCGATGCCTCAACCCGGTTCCATTCCATCTCAAATTCCGAGTCGTCTCGTCCCCTTCCCCGTCTCCCCCTCCAACCCCGCCGCCACCGCACCGCACCGCGCCGCACCCTCCCGCCATGCTACGCTCTCCGTCGGCGGCCATCAAACCGCCGTGTCGGGCTTTCCAATCCCACCCCAGCGATCTGGAGCTCGTCGACTCCTACCTCCGTCCCTGGGTCGAGACGGGCGTCAAGACCGGCGCGTTCATCCACGACGCCTACGTGTACGCCGCCGACCCCGCCGGCCTCACCCGGCAGTTCGCGCCGGCGGTGGCCGGCGACGGCGAGCGGGCGTGGTACTTCTACACGCCGCTACGCCACAAGAGCGTCCACGGGAAGCGGAAGACGCGCACCGTGGCCACCGGCGGCGGGTGCTGGCACAACGAGGCGAAATCGAAGCCCGTGTACATGGTCTCCAACGGCAAGCAGCACCAGATTGGGCACCGCCAGAGCTTCTCCTTCGTCAAGAAGGATACCGGCGTGCGGGTCCGCACGGGTTGGCTCATGATAGAGCTCCGCCTCCTCAAGGACGGCGCCGGCCAAGAACCGGAGGCGGAGGAGGACGGCGCCCTCGGAAATCGCGTGCTTTGCAAGGTGTACCGGAGCCCGCGCAACCCCGAGCCTAGCGGCAGCGGGGCCGCGGCGTCGCCCGGGCACAAGGCGGAGGCCGACGACGACGAATCTAGCGACGCAACGTTGGATGACGACGACTACGACGACGACAGCTCCAACGCGTCGCTAGAGGCGGCATCTGGACCCAAGAGGAGGAAATCCGATGACGTGGAATCCAGCGAAGCGACGGTGGCGGCGCCTAGTCGCCATAGCAAGGCGAACGACGATATCTCCGGCGGGGCCGCGGCGGCGCCCGGACGCAAGGAGAAGGCGGAGGTCGGCGAGGACTCCGTCGAGACGTCCGCGGCGGCGCCTCCTCGCAAGAGGAAGGCCTTGGACGACGAGAGCTCCGGCGCGGCGGGGGCGCCCGCTCGAAAGAAAAAGGCCGATGGCAGCAGCTCCCCTGGCGCTCCAGTTTCTGCGACGGAAATGCAGTGCCCTCAGTGCGGCACCCATCTGGTGGTCAGTCTGAAAAGGGCCGAGTCCAAATCGGAGACGGCGATCGCCAAGGACGAGTCGGCGTCCGGTGCTCCTCAGGGAGGCGAGACGCGTGGTTCTTCACAGAAGAATGTTCGGTTCCATCAGTTCCTTTGAGATCCAGGGCTCCTCCCCCGACAAATCCTGGAAACAGAGCCATGGTGTTGAGAGTAATCTGATAGCAGAGTAAAGAACTCATTTCCTCGTGTATTTGTCGGAAGAGGGCATTAGGGGTCTGGGGTTAATAATTAGGGTAGTTTCGTGAGGGCATTACGACTTGTAATTGTAGGATGATGGTTTAGTTTAGAAGTGTTTTTCTCTTTATCTTTGAAAGGGAATGCAGGAAGCAGTGTGTGATACACTGCTACCTGACCGGACCTTCAGAGGGCAAAAATGACGCAGCAGACTAATATAGTGCACCAAATGTTCAGACTTCAGAGCGAATTCAACCCACGATTGTACGATCTGAACGTTCCCATTGCGGAGATAGTAGAAATGCACGTCGAAAACCCATGAAACCACACTGACAAAATTCAAAATTCTGAGATGCTTGCTTCACAAACTCTTAAGAAGGGAACGCCTGAAGCATCAATGTACCATAAGCAGTAAATACTAGAGATTTATGATCCATCCCTTAAAACTTTTTGTGTTTGCGAGAACAATGTAGCATACAGCTTTCCTTGTTCCTAACTTCCTATACGTACCTGTCTACTCTAGCAGCAGGCAGATTCCCGTACCTGCTGCCCAAAGAAAGATGCAGCACGATTGCACGACGATAAAACGCACCCAACATTCGGAGATACTTTGGCTTAGTTAATTCACAAATGCAGCAGAAATTAATGTTCACAAATCTCCATCTATTTCCCCCCAATTTATTTCAATTAAACGCAAACAGAAACTAAAGTACAAATATCTTTGTTCTTATTAAGGGCTTATTTTGAACGCAGAAATTTCACAAGAATTATATAGTAATTTCGCAGAAACAATTCAATTTCATAAAAAAATACATGAACTGGAAATTTTTTCTGCATTCCAAACAGGTCCTAATAATAAATAATGAAGGAGAAATTATTTTAGACTGTCTTCAACGGAGCAGCCAAAGCGGAACTCAAACACATTTTGGGTAGCGCACAGTGTTTTGGTAAAAAAAAACAGTCTCCAGCGGTGTATGCAAACCGAACACCCATTTTTGGTATGAGCTGAGCCGGAACGCAAAGATGCGTCGTCTCTTCCCCACGACGCAATCCTCTTGCGCCGGTAGTGGTGGGCCCAGGCGTCGGGGTGGAGCCGACGACGACGGCGACGTGCTTCCGCGGACGACTACGACGAGGCGCGGGGGAGGTCGCGCCCACACCGCCGAAACCGCGCCAGGGCGGACTCTGCTGCCCGCGCTGGGAGGCCTCGCCCAGCGGGGTCGCGGCGAGGGGGAGCAGTGGTGGCGCTCCCCCACGTGCTCGCCCGCGTGGCGGCCAGCCGGAGGTCACCCGCGCAGCGGCGGGCCGAAGCTCCCCCATGCGGTCGCCCAAGCTTGCCCGCGCGCTCGGGCCAGATCTGGCCCACGCCCTCTTCCCCGGTGAGCTCATCAGCGGGGAGGGGGGCGGGCGGCGCATGCAGAGAGGCGGGGAGGGAGACGAGCGGACCTCGGCGGGGAGGGAGATGGGCGGACCTCGGGGGGCTTCTCCTTTGCCTTCTGGCTGTTGGAAAACGAAGTTTTTGGTCGGTGACCCATTTGCTATGCACAGCCTAAATCCTGGAATGAGTCGCCGTTTTGCCTTCTCGTTGTTGGAGTCAGTCTTACAAAGAACTGGAAACTACACAGACCAACGTGTGGACCGTCCGGCTGGCTATATAAACCGCCGCCGCGCCTAGCACGCCTCCTCGTGATCGCAACTCACAACGGTTCCCGAAAGGCCGAAACCATCCATCTTCGCCATGGCTGGCAGCCCGCCCAAGCCACCGCCTCCGACCTTCGCCGTCGGCTCCTCCTCGCCCAAGCCGCCGCCTGCGACCTTCACCGGCCACCCCTCCTACGAGGAGCTCATCGACTCCTACCTGCGCCACCGGATCGTCTCCGGCACCAAGGTGAGCGACTTCATTCACGAGGCGGACCTGTATGCCGCGGACCCGGACCTGCTCACCAGCCAGTACTCGCCGGCGACTGCGGACGATGGGGAGAGGACGTGGTACTTCTTCACGACGCTGCGCCCCAGGGCCCCCTCCAAGAAGCACAAGAAGCGCAAAGTGGACACCGGGAGGGAGGGAAGCTGGGCCAACAACGGACCCAAGACCACCGTGTTCTCCTACCGCGGCGGCCGCCGGCAGTGGATAGGACAGCATCAGACCTTCGCCTTCATGGAGAAAGTGGACGGCAAGCGTGTACGTTCGGCATGGCGCATGGTGGAGCTCAGCCTCGACTCCGATGAAGGCGGCCAAGAAGCGGGCTCCTCGAACCTTCTTGTCTTGTGCAAGGTGTACCGCAACCCGAATGCCAGCGTAGACGACGAGAGTTCTATGGCGGTGGCGGTGGCGGAAGCGGACGGCGAGGGCCCCGCTGCGTCTGCAGTGGTGACGCCTGGACGCGAGGACGCGGACGAGGAGATTGGTGCGGAGACGGCGGCGGGGCCTGGGCGTAAGAGGAAGGCGGGCGACAAGGACTCTGGTGCGGAGACGGTGGCGGCGTCGCCTGGACGCCAGAAGAAGGCCGACGGCGACGGCGAGAGCACTTATGCGGCCACGACCGGGGAAATCTTCGCTGACAGCAAGGACCCGCTTGATGCTGCGGAGAAAGCAGAACAGGAGGAGACCGGGACTTCGGACATCCAATTCTAGAATTTCTTCGGTGATAGCAGTGCCCCTCTTGTTGCTCCGGAGGAAGCGGAACAGGAGCCCAGAGATCCCAGGGACCCCACGTTCTACAATTTCTTCTCAGATTCGCAGAACCCAAAGAAAGGGTGACTGGTGAGCCATGACAAACCCCAAACGCATACCCCTGTTCTCTGTAAAATGCGCTGTTAGCACTAGTGTTAATGTGATAGGAAGCTGAGTGCAGCACCAATTTCTCCTGTAAAAGAACACAATTACGAGGTTGCAATTGAACAATTAGGACGGCTTTCTTGACATCACGAACCATCAGTTCTTGTGGCATGATGTTTGATTTCAGAGTAGAATAACAGGGAATGCTGGAAAGCAATCACACACAGGAAGCAGAGAGCTCCCTGATTTGGCCTTTAAATGGCACAAGAACAGCAACCTACGATTGCACGATCTGACGGATCACATCACATACAAATGCATGTCTCAAGGACACGTGAAAACTACACTAAACATTTGACGAGTTTTGATAATTCCCGGCAACTATTTCAGCCTTCAACATAGTCTCCCAGCTAGCTCAGATGTCTTCCGTGGATGCAGACAAAGACAAGCTTATTTGTTCTGACCTGTCTGCTCTATGGTTCTTGGAGCTGCAGGCAAATGGACATAGTTCAGAATCATACAAGAAGTATTATAGCTAAATGAAACAATGCACAAAATTACAAAATAAAGGATCGGATGCGATAGTCAGTGGTCTTAGCACCTGTTCGGCTGGTATTAAAGCCGGCTAAAGCTGTTTTGTTGTGAGAGAAAAATACTGTACATTCTAACTGATAAGCCAGCTGATAAGTTCAAGCGAAGTTTCAGATTCAGGCACCAAAACAGCAACTGTTTCTTCCAATTAATATTTAATCATCTTATTATTCCCTTAAGTTTGTGCTATGTTATCAGCCAAGAGAAATGAGCTATGCATACAAGCTACAATCTGTTGGCGGCCAGGATAAAGTTGCAGCTAATATTTGAATACTTTGGCCTAATATATTTTCAAAGGGCTGGCAAGACAACCTCATGCAAAAAATGAGAAATATAGCCACCGCATAGTACAAGTTAACTGCAAATATTAGCATTTGGGAATTGATAAAATTCGTCCTGCAATGCTGTAACATATGCACAGAATACATGCAGAATAAATCTATTGTTACACATGGTACATACCTATTCCAACAGCATCAGAGCGCCTCATGATTTTGAGCTTCCGACAGATAGAGGTAAAATAACTGCAAAGGAACAAATAAGGTCAGCACTAGCACTACTGAGATAGTGAGCTACTGATGCTATGAGGTAATGCATTCACAAGAGGATAAATAATGCATATGATATTATTTTCATAATCATATAATATGTTCTTAATAATTGCCGATAAAATTAACAACGGATGAACCCAACTTGATCCAACTATAGTCTACGCTAGCACCATTAAAACTAACATATACGACAATGTATAAGGTGTACTTACTCCCAGGGAAGATCACCAACAAGCATCCAGTCTGCATCCTTATCCTCATATGTAAGGACATATTCCTGGTCTTTGAGGGCATCCACCTTTGAGCCATTAGTCAGCCTATCTTTGCTCGATGATTTATGCAGACCACTTTGACCTTTAAAATCACAGGCCAAGTAAATATCCTTGTGAAAAGAAGGAAGACATACTATGCAAAAAAAAAACTGTTCAGTGATTTGTATGGTATTTACTTTCTGTTCACACATTAATCGTTATTTGTTAGGCCATGAAAATGTGCGCACGTGTCCCAATTATTCGTCCATTAGCAAAGCTACATGCCTACATGGAACTCTGATGAAAATTGAGCAGTGGAGCCAAGGCCGATGGCACTTAGATCGTGGCATAATAAGCAGAAAATTCTCCCTGTGCACAAAATGACTGTATGTCTGTATTGTGCTTGGTCCTTGTTTAGGATCATATATGCATAGCACATCGCTGTATGAATGCTATCTTCATGCAAGTCTTATGAATCTTTGCTTCAAGAAAGCAACTTTTATTCGACAATAATTACTCAAGCTCCTCCTACTCTTTTGGAGTACTTAAATCTAGTACACCACAAAGGACTTATAGCAAAAAATGGCAGTGAACGGGCGCAGTATTTGTGTAATTACAAGAGGGGAACGCATCAAACGGAAGAATAGAACCGAACACCACTCACCAGTGATGAAGCAGCTGAACATCTTCTCGAGCGCCATGGAGAGGTCCTCGTAGCTGGAGTACATCTTGATGTCCACCTTCCTGAGGTAGGGCGCGCCATCCATGCTCACCTTGACGTACATGGGCCCGCCGCCTCCGGACGCGGCCTCCTCCGCGGGCGCCTTGCTCTTGGAGGCGCTGGCGGCGAGGGTGTTCTTCCGGTAGTTCCGCACTGGCGGCCATCCCACCACCTGCGCTCTGCACGGATCGACAGCACCGCATCGGTCAGTTCCGGGCCAAAACAGCAGCGCCGGCGGCGAATCGAAGCGGGGTCTTACTTGGCGGCCGGCGGCGCGGCGGGGGAAGCCTGCTGCTTGTCGTCGCTAGCCTTGGCAGCAGCACCGGGGCGCTGGGCGGGGTCCGGGAAGGCGCGCTTGGCGGAGACACCAGCGGATGCGGCGGCTGCCTTGGGGGCAGCCGGCAGCGGGCCGAGGGAGAGCGCGGCGGCGACGTCCTCGCAGCAGTCCCGGTCGCGGTCGGGGGACTCGGAGCCCGGCAGGCCGAGGCGCAGGGTGAGGCGGGGCGCCGGCGAGGACGAGGAGGAGGAGGACGAGGTCGGGGTCGGCGGCGCGGCGGCGGCGGAGAGGCCGATGTAGTCGTGGGGCTCGAGGGGCGGCGACATTGGGGCGGGTGGGGAAGAGAAGAGACGGGGGGACCGGGGACCTGGGACCTGGGGGTAGAGACCAGAGAGAGAGGAGGGGCGAGGTGGGGGTGGGTTTGGAGTGGAGGTGACGAGGGGGGAGCGACGACGACTTGCTGCGGGAGTGCTGGTGGAGGTGGTAATAAAAGTGGCCCGACCGGGAGGATTTTTAACGAATTTCTCTCGCCTTTTTTTTTTCTTTGTCCCGGGGGGCCTTGTCCGGTTGTCGTCTTGTCGCGCGGTGTTTTGTGCTTGGGTCGCTGCTGCCGCTGGTCTGTGGTCTCGATGAGTGGGTGGGAGTCTCTGCTCTGTGGGGTCGGCTTGTGCGGTGTCCTCTCCACGTCACAGGTGGACGACGCAGAGTCAGCTCTCAGCTAATCGGCCATTTTTCTCTTGCTTGTCATGGTCATCGACCACAACTCTGTTCCGTTGGTCCGTTATACTGATCCGTGCGGCTGATTTATTGAAACAAAAAAAATACTGTATCATAGCTACGTAGCTAATAAGCCGGCCGGCTTATCAGAGCAGCTGAATAGAGCTCACTTCTGCCTCAAGGCCTGCAAACCGGCCCTCGGCACGGGTACTGCTAGCCAATGGCCAGGTCGGCGATTATGCTAGTTTTGGGAAGTGCACGTCATGTCTCAGTTTAGCCTTATTTAAATTCAGGGTGTAAAAGTTTCGGAGTGTCATATCAATTGGCGTATGAAGGTGTTCGAATACTAATAAAAAACAAATTACATAATCCATAAGTAATCCGCAAGATGAATTTATTAAGCCTAATTAATCCGTCATTAGCACATGTGTACTGTAGCACCACATTGTCAAATCATGGACTAATTAGGCTTATAAGATTCATCTTGCAAATTAGTCGCAAACTATATAATTAGTTATTTTTTTAGTCTATATTTAATACTCCGTACATATGTCCAAATATTCGATGAATAGAAATTAAATTTTAGGAGGAGCTCAACAAGGCCAAACCAATGCTGTTAAACTCTGCACCCGAGCAATTACATCCACGGGACAAATTGGCCGTCCGCGAGCTAATCACGGCCCGTTTGGCTTATGAGAAACCGATTTGTTTTTTCAGTAGGAACATAAGGTCTTTTTACCGATTTCGATTCAAGTTCAGCATTTTGAAGCAGGGCCCACATCGTACGTATTTAAGTACCTTTCCCGGCTACGAGAAACTGGCATGGCGTCCAAGACCATTGACCAGCAAATACGACAACTAGTATAATACGTACGGTATTGCTGGAGAAAACAACTAGGAGAACGTAAAATGGAAAAAGGCCAGTCTGGGACTACTACTACCAGAGCTGGGGACGTCACGGCGCACGGCCCAGGGTAACGTAGACGTGGGAATTTGGCTTTAATAGGCAGCTAATCAGCCGGTTGGTAGGTTGATTTCTATGATAAATTTGAATGTTGCTAGTTTGTTATGAGAGAAAAATACTATATCATAACTGATAAACTAGGGCTGAAACCAATAAGCCGAAATGCTAGTCACTGTTTTTACCGCTCCAAGTTGTATTATTCATCGGTTCCGCAGTTTTGGCGCATGTCGTCCATGGTAACAGTGATCTTTGAGACTGAAACCTGCACGACGTTTACGGGTACAACAACTGCTGTACGTTACTCCGCTTCCCCTGTCCGATGGCTAAACTACTGGTAGCAGCAGGAGTCCCGATCAGGGGGTGTTTAGTTCCCCCAGTTCCAAACTTGGCACTATAAAAAAAGAATATTTTCTGTCACATTAAATTTACGGAACGTGTATGAAGTATAAAATATTGACGAAATTAAAAAATAATTACACAGTTTGGTTGTACTTTGCGAAACGAACGTTTTAAGCCTAATTAATCAATGATTGGACGATTATTACCAAATAAAAACAAAACGCACTGCAGCTACAGTGTTTTTGTCGACGCAACTAAACGAGGCCTAGGTGGTGAAGAAGAAAAGAGTAGGTGCAGGTTGTTGGTGTGTTTGGACTTTGGTGTGGTGCGTCTCCGGCGTTTTTCATGAGGAAAATCGACAGTCCGGTGCTCCAAGCATGAGCAGGAAAATTAAGGCGCCTCGCAAAAAAAAAATTAAGGCGTACTACACACGGTCGTGGGGTTG